CCGCATGGTGGCAGAGCTCAAGGAGGAGGTGGAGAGGCTGAGGGCCATCAGGGAATGTGAGCGGGAGATAGACTTCTGGAGCAACTCCCTGCAGGGCCTCAAGGAGAGGTACCGGGGTGAGACACCCCAAATGGGGGTGGACCCCCTGCCCTGTCGCCGTCGGACAGAGGGAGGGGATCTGGGAGTTGAGGAGGAATGGAAACAGGTCCCTGCGCGACATGGCAGGCGATGCCCTCCCCTTCCGGCCCCACCTTCCCAGGTGCCCTTACAAAACAGGTTTGAGGCCCTGGAGAATGAGAGATCAACAGCAACTGAGGAAGAGGTAGAAAGTGTTCCCAGGAGGATGCCTAGGGCGAGGAGGTCGACTCCACGCATCAGGACTGCCTCCACCAAGAAAGAAAGAAGGGTGATTGTCGTGGGAGGCTCTATCCTTAGGGGGACAGAGGGCCCTATCTGTCGGCCTGACCCTACCCGTAGGGAAGTCTGCTGCCTCCCTGGGGCCAGGGTCAGGGACGTTACCAGGAAGCTCCCCAACCTGGTACGCCCCTCAGACTATTATCCTCTTGTGATAGTCCAGGCAGGTAGTGATGACATTGATGACAGAAGCCTGAAGGCTATCAAAAGAGACTTTAGGGGGCTGGGACGGTTAGTGGACGGAGCAGGAGTGCAGGTAGTATTTTCGTCCATCCCTACGCTGACAGGGAGGGGTACGGAGAGGACAAGGAAAGCCCACCTGTTAAACACGTGGCTCCGGGGCTGGTGCCTACGCAGAAATCTTGGTTTTTTCGACCATGGGGCAGTTTACTCAGCACCTGGTCTGATGGCCGTAGACGGGTCCCTATCCTTTAGGGGAAAAAGGATCCTGGGCCAGGAGCTGGCGGGGCTCATTGATAGGGCTTTAAACTAGGTAAGAAGGGGGATGGGGCTGAAGCAAGGACTGTTGGGGCTGTGCCAGGGCGAGCAATGGCAAGGCCGGAGGATAAGGTAAAGGCCCAGCTGAAGTGCATCTACACCAATGCACGCAGCATGGGTAACAAACGGGAGGAGCTGGAAGCCATCGTGCAGCGGGCAGGCTACGACTTGGTTGCCATCACGGAAACGTGGTGGGACCAGTCTCATGACTGGAGTGCTGCGATGCCTGGCTATAAGCTCTTCAGAAGGGACAGGCAGCACAGAAGGGGTGGCGGTGTGGCTCTCTATATTAGAGAGTCTTTCGATGTTGTAGAACTCGAGGCTAGGAATGACAAGATCGAGTCCCTTTGGGTTAGGATCGGCAGGGACAACAAGGCTAGTGTCCTGGTCGGGGTCTGCTATAGACCGCCGAACCAGGATGAGGAGACGGATGAGGAGTTCTACAGGCAGCTGGCAGAAGTTGCGAATTCGTCGGCGCTTGTACTCGTGGGGGACTTCAACTTCCCTGACATATCCTGGAAGCACAATACAGCCCAGAGGAAGCAATCTAGGAGGTTTCTGGAGAAAGTGGAAGATAGCTTCCTGACGCAGCTGATTAGTGAACCTACCAGGGGTGGTGCCCTGCTAGACCTTCTCTTCACAAACAGAGAAGGACTGGTGGAGGATGTGATTGTCAGGAGCTGTCTTGGGCAGAGTGACCACGAAATGGTGGAGTTCACTATTCTTGGCGGGGCCAGGAAGGGAACCAGTAAAACCACTGTATTGGACTTCCGGAGGGCTGACTTTGGGCTGCTCAGGACACTAGTTGGTGGAGTCCCATGGGAGGCGGTTCTGAAGGGCAGAGGGGTCCAGAAAGGCTGGGCGCTCTTTAAGAGGCAAATCCTAATGGCGCAGGAGCGGTCTGTCCCCATGTGCCCAAAGATGAGCCAGCGGGGAAGAAGACCAGCCTGGCTCAACAGAGAATTGTGGCTTGAGCTTAGGAGGAAAAAGAGGGTTTATAATCTTTGGAAAATTGGGCAGGCCACTAAGGAGGACTATAAGGATGTAGCGAGGCTGTGCAGGGACAAGATTAGGAAGGCCAAAGCTCATCTGGAGCTCAATCTGGCTACTGCTGTTAAAGATAACAAAAAACGCTTTTATAAATACATCAACACAAAAAGGAGGACTAGGGAGAATCTCCATCCTTTACTGGATGCGGGGGGAAACTTAGTTACAAGAGATGAGGAAAAGGCGGAGGTGCTTAATGCCTTCTTTGCCTCAGTCTTTAGCGGCAAAACCGGTTGCTCTCTGGATACCCAGTACCCAGAACTGGTGGAAGGGGACGGGGAGCAGGATGTGGCCCTCACCATCCACGAAGAACTGGTTGGTGACCTGCTACGGCACTTGGATGTGCACAAATCGATGGGGCCGGATGGGATCCACCCAAGGGTACTGAGAGAACTGGCAGAGGAGCTGGCCAAGCCCCTATCCATCATTTATCAGCAGTCCTGGCTATCGGGGGAGGTCCCAGCTGACTGGCAACTAGCAAATGTGACGCCCATCTACAAGAAGGGCCGGAGGGCAGACCCGGGGAACTACAGGCCGGTCAGTTTGACCTCAGTACCAGGGAAGCTCATGGAGCAGATCCTCTTGGGAGTCATCATGCGGCACTTGAAGGGCAAGCGGGTGATCAGGCCCAGCCAGCATGGGTTTATGGAAGGCAGGTCCTGCTTGACGAACCTGATCTCCTTCTACGACAAAGTGACGCGCTGGGTGGATGAGGGAAAGGCTGTGGATGTGGTCTACCTTGACTTCAGCAAGGCTTTTGACACCGTCTCCCACAGCATTCTCCTCAAGAAACTGGCTGCTCTTGGCTTGGACTGGCGCACGCTTCGTTGGGTTAGAAACTGGCTGGATAGCCGGGCCCAAAGAGTTGTGGTGAATGGAGCCAAGTCCAGTTGGAGGCCAGTCACTAGTGGCGTCCCCCAGGGCTCGGTGCTGGGGCCGGTCCTCTTTAACATCTTCATCAATGATCTGGATGATGGCATTGAGTGCACCCTCAGTAAGTTTGCAGATGACACCAAGCTATGCGCATGTGTCGATCTGCTCGAGGGTAGGAAGGCTCTGCAGGAGGATCTGGATAGGCTGCACCGATGGGCCGAGGTCAACTGTATGAAGTTCAACAAGGCCAAGTGCCGGGTCCTGCACCTGGGGCGCAATAACCCCAAGCAGAACTACAGGCTGGGAGAGGAATGGTTGGAGAGCTGCCAGGCAGAGAAGGACCTGGGAGTGATGGTGGACAGTCGGCTGAATATGAGCCAGCAGTGTGCTCAGGTGGCCAAGAAGGCCAACGGCATCCTGGCTTGTATCAGAAACAGTGTGACCAGCAGGGCTAGGGAGGTGATCGTCCCCCTGTACTCGGCTCTGGTGAGGCCGCACCTCGAGTACTGTGTTCAGTTTTGGGCCCCTCGCTACAAGAAGGACATCGAGGTGCTTGAGCGGGTCCAAAGAAGGGCGACGAAGCTGGTGAGGGGCCTGGAGAGCAAGTCCTATGAGGAGCGGCTGAAGGAGCTGGGCTTGTTCAGCCTAGAGAAGAGGAGGCTCAGGGGTGACCTTATTGCTCTGTATAAGTACATTAAAGGAGGCTGTAGAGAGGTGGGGGTTGGCCTGTTCTCCCATGTGCCTGGTGACAGGACGAGGGGGAATGGGCTAAAGGTACGCCAGGGGAGTTTTAGGTTAGATGTTAGGAAGAATTTCTTTACTGAAAGGGTTGTGAGGCACTGGAACGGGCTGCCCAGGGAGGTGGTGGAGTCACCATCCCTGGAAGTCTTCAAAAGACGTTTAGATGTAGAGCTTAGGGATATGGTTTAGTGGGGACTGTTAGTGTTAGGTTAGAGGTTGGACTCGATGATCTTGAGGTCTCTTCCAACCTAGAAATTCTGTGTGATTCTGTGATATATATAATTATTTTGAAATAAACTCAGAGGAACCTTTTGTATGGCGGGTTAGAAGGAATGGAAGTTGCTGGATTCAGACAGGCAGCTAAGCATGCTTTGGGGTTTCAAGGTTGGTAGGCAGATTGGCATTGCAGCTTGGAACCTGCGGCTCATGCTACGAATACAAAGAGCAGACAATCAGGCCCCAGACAGGGAAGGAACACATTTCTGGAGCTATGGGGAGCTGGGTTTGCAACAACTCAGAAACTCGTTGAATGAACTAAAACAAAGCTTGGAGGCAGGAACCAACCTGTTTGTACACTATGGACAAAGAAGACTTCATATTTTCCCTCCATTTTTTAAAAGAAGGCAAACTACATTTAACTACATATGAGTTTGAGAAAGCAGTAATTTGTGAAGCACTTTCAGATCTTCAGAAGAGAAAAACTATTTCCAGGAGGAACAAAAAACAGCAAATGAAATTGAGTGGTAGGAACAAAAACATTACAAAATATCTCTGTTCAGTTATTTTCTACAAATGGGCTAGTACAATATTCAAAACACGGTTTGTAGAAATCAGAATGCTTTTCTCAGCCGAGGTCATTTCACCTCAGCCAACATTTTTGCAGCCACAGCCAGATAGGCTTTTTAGTTTATGACGTACAGAGCAGAACAAGACAAGCAGGCAGAATGCAATAGAAGCTCATTTTTTTCAATAAAGGAAGCGACTATGAACTGCAGCAAGACTTCCAGTAGGACAAACACAGCTTTATTTACCAACACCGACCTAGCCCTGCCAGTGAATTCCCAATGGTCAAAGAATATTTGCTCTCTGCTATACTTGCAGGCAGCTGCACATGAAGGAGAAAAGGTTTGGGAGAGGTCTCTGCAATAAGACCTGGGAAAGAAAAAGAAAGCAAAAAGGAGACAGAGCAAAATCAGCATGCTTCATCTTCGCATGGTGGGCAAAGCTGTAGATATAAAGGAAGAGTCAAGGATGTAAAAGGACAGTGGCAGGAGGCACTTTTAGTTTCATTTCTGTCGTATAATGAAGCTATATTTTCCTAGAAATATGCCCGTAATCAATAGAAAAATAAATCATTCTATAGAAGCAGACATGAAATATGAAAAAAACATTTTTATTCCTATTATTATGTAATCTTATTTAATTATGTCTTAAGAATGACTTTTCTCCTGCCTCATACAATGCAGAACTCTACTGTTTATCTTGTTATATCTAAATTAGCAGCATCCCCAAGCAGGTGTTACATTTGGAAGACAACATACAGTAAGCAATTAGAGAATTGTATGTAAATACATAATTTGTCTGAGGAAAAGAAAGCTCTTTGGTATGATTAAGCATCATTTAAAAATTTCATGTTAAAAAAGGTAAACAACTACCAAATGGGATGATGCAGAGTTTGAAAATGTGCTTCCCTGAAGGATCAGCCCAAGGAGCACACTGTGTTTCTGTGCATAGCCAGTGAGAGTTCTGGTCTGACTATGCTGTAGCATTTTCCAATTTTCATACCCAAGAGACTCTGATTTTTGAGAAATTGATGACCTAGAACAAGATTGCTTGTCCACTTGCTCCTTATTAAGCATGCTCACATGTGGTGCATGTATACACTCTTGGGGTACTCCAGCTACCTCAGGATGAAAAGGAGGCTGTGACAGGAGGTGTGAGCAAACAGGAAAAGCACAAGCAAAGGCAGAAGGACACGTTGTAAGCTTTGGCTGAAAAGCCACAGACGTTAAAACTGAGACCAAATATAGAAATATCTTTTCCACATAAATGTTACCTACAGTAGGATTAAAAACAAAACAAGAAAACCCTTCAGAATACCCAGAGAGGGCAGAGAAGAGAACCATAGCCTTTCAGGCAGCTGCATACATCTAATACCCAGCCACATATTTTTATCTTAGCTCGCAGATTCACTGTAAAACTTGGCAGGAAATTTGAGAAGGACTTTGGAAAACTCCACAGCACACCTGCAAGAGTATAAACAGAATTATCCTTATTTTACTACTGGATAAACTACTGGAAAAGATCATACTTTCTGCCTAACTTCAGGTATCCTGTGTTTTCCAGATGAAGGAAGACATCCACCCCGATGGATCTCTCCTGTCAAATGAACACTTTTTGACATGAAGCACAATGAAAAATGAATGATTTTTATTATTCATAATGCTGCCACTAGGTATTGTAACTTCACAAGCTGTGTGGAGACTTGCCACTTAAATTAGACCCTTGAGGCCCCAAATGTTTCTAATGACTTACCAATAATCCTACACCAAATAAGTAGTAAAAGCTGTGTTATTTTTTCCATCCCAGTGCTTATTGATATTATCTATTAAGCACACTGGTGTACTTGTATAAATCATCTTAATAGCAGAACCAGAGACTTCCACCAGGGAAGAGGTTTCCTTCTCAAGTCAGAAACCTGTTATCCTAGTGATTGCTACAGCTAGCAATCATGACCACAGCATAACCATAATAAAACATGACTACAGTGTGACCATAACCAACAGTGCAATCATAGCACAAGAATGTAGATTTGCATTAAAAGACTGCCCCTCAGCCAAAACAACCTGCTCAATCTAGGAGAAGATTCTCCAAGTCATCTTTATTTATTTTCAGGGCACGTGAAATACTGATTTTTTTCTCTGTTTACCTGCCTAAGATATGCTTGCCTCTCTGAAATGACAGAGAATTGCTCAAGTCCAAGAAATTAAGTTTTCCTAGTAGAAAAGCATGAGATATGGTGTCAGATTAATTTAAAATATGTCATTTCAGGATTTAAAGGTAAATATTTGTTTGTTTCCTTACAGTCTATCATGCACAGGGAATTAGTTGGGGTGGTTGTATACTACTGCAGCTGAAGTGCCTTTGGTATCTGACCTTGTTCATTTGACCTTACCTTGGGTGTCTTTACCATACTGCACTTTGCAATGCAAATATATCCTGACTTGATTACATAGAAGCTGTTCTGCAAAGATATTCACTGACCCCACTAACAACGGGAACTGCATTTCTTTGCTGAGGGTAAAAAAACTCATGAGTATTTCTTTAGACACCTCACAAGGAAATAAAAGCAATTCTTGAGTAATTTAGGAGCAAATCAGCATACTTCTAAGAGTCTTGGAGATTCACACCTTCTCTCATACATCCATCACATCAAACTGGTTTCTACTAGTAAGCTACAGCAGTGCTTTGAAGAGTATGTAGTGATGTCATGTCATCTGATATTGTTAATCCAGTACTTATACTTGCTGTGCAAATGGGCACTGGAAACTATGTCATATTCATGTTTGTCAGGAAGTGTGGGAGATGCAAGACTAAAGAACTGGCAACTCTGAACCTTGGCTGGAAAAAATACTTTCTCCTTTTACTTTGGATCCCTGATTTTGCCTCTCCTTCAGAGATTACAGTGTTGCACATGATGAATAGCATACAGCAAATTAATATTTAAGAATTCAGCACCAAGAGGTAATTACTCAGCTAGCACAGGCTCATATTATTGATGCTTGGCTCCTTAAGAGATTTTTTTGGAGTGCCTATAAAGTAAATTAAGACATTTAAAACATTATAGTATTACACATCATTACATTTCCTGATCTGCATATTTTAGCAATTGTTTATGTTATGTAGCATGAAGAGCTGTTTCTTGCAAGTTATTTCTGAGAAAGGCTTGGACTCGATTATCTATCTATAAATTCTGAAAAGGGAGAAAATATCCTCCATGTTGTGGCAAAGGGTTGTAGGCAAATGTAAAAAGTACCTCCTCAGTGGCCTCTAAAAACATATTTTATACACCAAACTACAGGACAGTGTGGTGATTCAGGACTTTCCTGAATCATGGCACAACTGATTCAGTCAAAGATTGATCTGTCAGATTGCACCATCTGAGAGGGTCTAGTGTTAATCTTGCTAGAATCCAAATGGAAGCAACTATTACTTTCCAGGAAACTTCAGGTGCTCCAGAAAACTGTACTCTGCAGCTCAGAAATACAGTCTAGCATTAGACACCAGGCTCATTTTCTACTTTATTTTCAGACACATCCAAGTATAGGTAAGGGCTTGAGGACTTGAGAAAAAAGAACAGAGTCTTGCTAGATGGGAGGTAGCTACAACTTATTCAATAGGTTGTGTTCAGCATAAATAATAAGGGCTATGGTTAAATATTGCTGCTTCTCTGGCTGTAAGAAAAATTTTCTAACAGGGAAACCCATCGCTGTAGAAAAATGAGCTTTCATAAGAGCCATACCTAGATTTTGGCTCCTCTCCTCCTCCCTCCCAAAGATCTAAAGAGCATCACAAATTTCAGGCCCTTCCAATCCAAGATTTGTCCTGGCTTTCTTCACCCAGAACTTTTATAACTGTTCTAGAATACTTCTTATGAAGTGAAGTGAAAAGAAAAAAATAATGAAAAAAGAAAGAAAGAAAAAAAGGAAAAAAAAAAAAAAAAAAAAAAACAGAAGAGACGTTGGGAAGAAATTCTGTGGAAAGAACCTCAAGAGTTCATTTAATCTAAGCTCCCACTCCAAGCAGGGTTGGCTCTGGAGCTGTATAAGGTTGCAAATGGCCTTGTCCAAGACAGAAATGTTCACAGACTCTCTTGGCCCCTGTTCCAGCGTTTAAACAAGTGGTTCACACGTGAAGAGTTTTTTCCTCATAACTCTTTGGAACTTTTCATGTTAAAATTTGTAACTGTTGTGTCTTGCCTTTTTGTTGTACCTTCTGAGAAGAATCTGACTCTTGACTTATTTCTAATCCTCTTTTATGTATTGTAAGGCTGTAATTAGAGCTCCCTCAGTCTTGTCTTTTCAAGGCAAAACAAATTCTGTTCTTCTGCCCTCTGCTTATGTGTCATATGCTCCAGCTCCCTTCTGAATTATGTGCTACTCAAAATGGATTTGGTGTCCCAGTTAATAAAGGTTTTTTGGAAACATACTTTACTTGCATGCATGGCTGCTTGCATGTAATGCAATAAATGTATCAGGAGTTTAAACAGAAGGACGTAATGGCTCTGAAAATATCAGGGGCTAAAGTGAAGAAATGGGAAAATTGTGTCAGGTACACAGGAGATGTCTATGAAAAACTGGCAGCATACAAGAGATCAATACAAATTTTTGCAGAAGGCCACTGACAACTAGAACACTGTTTGGATTTCCCTGCACAGATCATCACATGTTGAACCAAAACCACAGACACTGGTCATAGCTGAATGAGAGAATCAGGATCCTGAGGGCTTTATGTGGAATGGTCTTGGGTTAAAGCCAGGTAGAGTCGGAATCACATTTGGATTGATGCCACAGGGCAAGAGGACTGTACAAAAATAATTACACCAACAATATTTTGCACTGTTAAGCAACAAAGGCACGATTTTGAGTGTATAATGTCTATTCACTTGTAATCTATCCAAATGATATCTCATTCTTCACAGAAAGGGCTTGGAGAAGGGCCTGACAAATTGTCATCTTTCTGCTGTACCTACATATGTTCCACAGCATACAGGGGTATAATCTTAAATTAATGCATTTTATAACTAGAGCAAAACTCATCTCATTCTGTGGTGTAGAACTGAATGGCTGCACTTGGCAGGCATTTGTGGGCATTTAAGACCTCTTTATAGGCAAAATAACAAGACTCATCAATCCCATATTGTGCTCTTTGCAAAAAACAAAACACAAAAAATCTGAAATTGGAAATAACATTTGTGAAGTAATCTTGCATTAAACAAAAAGCTTTAATTGATCTTGTCAAATTTTATCTGAATAAATGTGCAACCAATGATTCAGTACAACTCTCTACATCAGCTATCAGTCCTCACTCAGACTATCAGCTTGCCAAGTGCTGGTTTATTCTGTGTGAAAGTTTCTGTGTCATGATAGTTTCATAATTACACATTATGACCAGGGGAAAAACTAGTAATAATAAAAGACACCTATACTTGACACTGGTGCCCAAATGAAAAAATGTGTACATCCATTTTGTGTTAAAGGTTTGCTTGAGACAAAACACAAGTTTGCTGGGGAGAGGTGGAGGAGCTGCAGGACAGTCTGGTATATAATAATGGAGCCATCTACTGGAAAGCTGCTGCTGTGAGCACCTCATCTCCGCCTCACTCACCTGCTGTCAGCCTCCTCAAAATTAATCCTCCAACATTTACATCTGGCTCCTATTTGCTGTCCTTCCTTGGTCTACAAGGTGCAGAGGAATATTAAATATCTGTCGTGGATTACCACCTATGTAGTGCAGAAAACAGTAAGGGATCCCTGTGTTCAAGCTGGGTTTACACAGAAATAATGTTGCATGCCTTTTGTGATCTGGTAGTTTACTTTTGTATATGTCCTGCTGTTGGCCACGCTCCAGCTATGGTTGAGAAAAGGAAGTCAAAGCAGGAGAAATTTGTTGTGTTTCAAGATTGTTGCATGTTTCTACAGGGGAATGGAAAAGTTTATCTTGCTTTTACAACACACTAAAACTTCTTTTATGATGTTTTGATTCAACAGTGTTGAGAATCATTCTTCCTGCTTTGTTGTAAGAAATATTGAGTAATATCAGCTCCTACTGAGGTGGGTTTTTCTTTTTTTTTTCTGCCTTTTTTTTTTTTCCTGTGTTTTTTCTGTTTTTCTTTTTGAAAGCAACCTGTTTCTCTAACCAGACAAACCACTTGTTTGGATAGACACGTTACTTTTGCCCCAGCAACAATTACATTTCCTGAAGCAAATTTTAAACTATCTTACAAGTTGTGATCAACCACCTTTTCAAATATAGCCAGACTTGTATTTGCATCTATCATAATCAAGGTGCTTGCAAAGTGAAACAGCACTCCTAAAATGAAGCTGATTGCCTTTCATGTCCTGTGAAATGGCTTGGATAGACAGTAACTGAACAAATACTCTCTAATCTGTTTGGATAATATTCTAAAGTTCATATTTAAGTTCAACCTTACTGTTACATTGGTGCTTCCACGCCTTCAACTGGTGGAGAGGAATAGCTGAAGAGGCCAAGCGGTGCCACAGTGAATCAGAGTAAACAGGCAATATGTAGTGTTGCAGAAGGACTCATCTTCAGGTAACTGAGGAAACAGCAAAGCAGTAATTTAGACACAAATTCAGTTCCACATAGATCATCAAATTTATATATATATTAAATATATATTATAATGTTAACTACTATATTTAATATTAAATGTTAGTATTTTAAAATAATTTTATGGTACAAAATGAGCCTTTTTCCTGCTCAAGCTAAGCTCTTGTAGACTATAAGGGCAGCTGAGCCAGAATAAGGGCAATGAACTGAAGGGTTTGGATCAATACAAACAGAAAAATTACGGACGTTTCTATAGCTGCAATGTAAATAATTAAGTTCTCTAAGAAGCTGCTTGTTGGACCCCTACCAATCACACCACCACTTTACCAGTCAAGGTCTCCTACTTCACAAACCCAAAAGCCAACCTGCAAACTGGCAAATTATATTTATGAGAATTTTCCATACAGATTGCCTGGCAGCTACTGATTGCCCACTGCAGGCAGTTGTCAATTAGCTCTGTTTAATTTGCTTGTTCACCCTTGAATCTGACCCTTCAGAGCTGGCAGATAAGCAGTCTCTGTCGTACAAAACCTATATATGTAATCTGCCTGAAGAGCATAGGCACTCATTTAGTCCACCTGCTAAATGTGGTCATATGTCCACACATCACATTTAAAGAAATAATAACAATATAGGTTACTGTCTTTCCACTGACAGTAGAAAGACACTGAAGCAACACCTACCCACTTTCTTTTTTCTTTCCTAAGCTTGCTCCACCCCACAGATACAAAAATAGAGTGCATTCTCCAGAGTTTTAAAGCAAAAGAGTCTTGGGGTTCTTATTTTGAATTTAATAAACATACACATAGGATGACAAAGTTAGAGGAAAACTGTCAAAAATGTCTTTCTAAAAGAAAAACTGTATCCTTTCACCAAACCATTTCATCTTCAGAAAAGCATCCTTACTTTTACTTCATGGAAGATTTGTCTTAGAACCATTTAACAACCATTAAAAAAAAAAAGGAGGGAAAAAAAAAGACAAAAATGCCTTAGATCCTGAAATCGTGATGAGCTTGTAATTAACCACAGTTTGTAGGGGATTTGTGAAACTATTATGCTGTACTATAAGGACACACACTTTATCAAGGCTTGAGCATGGTCTAATTAATAGAGATCGCATGCAGCCCATTAATTAACTCAACATGGTAATCAAACATCCAGAAATACTGCTTAACTAACCCCTGGTGTACTCAAGGGCAATGCATTCACTGAAGATGTTATATGTCACGTTGCTGTATGGAACATGTGTTACCTTTGAGGGTGGGGAACTCAGGGGTTAATGTGACAGAAACTATACAATAGCAAAGAATGTATTTTTCATGTGAATTTAAGTGCCCAGGAAAACTACTGAATTAGCCTTAATGGAAAGTTAAGGATCACCACCCTCATTAAATCACAGCTACAGATCTTATTCCCTAACCTACGTTGCCCATATCTCTTGTACTGCTGTAGACAGATTACATCAAATGCTAACAAGTTTTCCAAATACAAATCCTTTTATTCATTTGGCTTATTTATAGGTCTTGCGATCAGTGTGAGCACCTAGGTATGGTTCTCCCCCAGCTTTAGCTGCTCAAGGCTACAAATGCACTAAGATTTCCTGGGCAGCAGCCCCCACCTACTCATCGTCTTGCTCTACTTACTCCCCACCATCTCTCCTTGCCCTCTATCATGCCCTTCCAGCAGGGAGTAGGACAGTTCCCCAGTGATTTGTGACACAGCTCTACAAACTACTGTGCTGATGCTACTAAATGGGCATCATGGAAGTTGATATCATAGGCAGAGACAAGGCTGCTCAAGTCAGCAAGTATTTTTTTCTGTTGGAATCTGAAAGTTAAGTACCTGTTTAAGATGACTCTAATGATACATAGCAATACAGATATCTCCAGAAGTTGTTTTGGCCCACCTATCTCAAAAACTTATCTTATGATGAGATGATCATCTTTGGAGAGGCTTGATTCTTTCCAGTGGTCTGTAGAGAATTTGTATTCCTAAATTAGATTAGATCTACCTTATACATGGGCAAATTAAATGGTATAAATTTCTTCCTGCTATCTGAGTACAGAAACCTGTCTTACCAGTGATTACTGAGTAATCAACATTAGCTGTTAGCATCTTTACAGAAATTACAGAAAGAGTTCATTCCAAAACTAATCAGTTTGTTGTAAAGTCCATTGAATTTCCTCCATCCCTCTGGCAGATTGCTGTTTCACTAGTTCTACATTTCATGAGTCATAATTTAAAGAAACATTTCACATCTCTATTATACAGAAACTCTTATGCTCAAATGAAGGTCACTAGAAAGAACTAAGGAAAAATAACTGAGCTAAGTAAAAAAAAAAAAAAAAAAAAAACTAATTCTAAAACAACTTCCTCTGCTCTGATTCAATGTACTTATATTACTAAGTAAATCAAACAGTAATAAAGCATTGTCCTCTGACATGAAATCACCCTGCTATAATTCTGCCTCTAATCATCTGTGGTGCTAGAAGACAGCAAACGCTATCATAGCAGGCTGTGATCTCATTCAGCCTCATGGAATTTTTATACCAGAAGGGAATACTACATTTATCTATTTGACTTCCAGTATAATCCAGGTCAAAACATGTCACTTGGTAACTCTGCATCATCATCCTATTTTGTGGTAGGAGTTAATAGATTTCTCGAAAAATATTAAAACAACAACAAAAAAAGGAATAATGAAAACTCTTCTATAGCTCTCAGCAAATCATCCCAATGTTTAGTTATTTCTTCTGAGACATGTTAGCACCTGAAGTCTGACCTGTATTTCTGCTGGCTCCAGTTGTCTGCCACCGGGTCTCAGCCTGCTTTCAGTTGCTAAGTTACTGTATTTTGGCTCAAAGTCAACACAGGACAGTTATTTTTCCATTGACCTGTAGGGCCATATCTTCAATTAGAATAAGTCACTATAGTTTAAGCAAAGTTAAGGGGATCTTATCCTGACTTTGCTTGTTATGTTAAGGAGTTACCTGCTGTGCCTCATGCAGTCTGTTCTCTCGTACAGGCTATGACCAAAACACATCAAAACCTTCTCTTCAGACAGATTAATAGGTTGATGACCTTGAAGTTACCAATTCAGATCTTTATATGTGCGTTATGAACCCTTTACAAAGGGAAATAGTGATGGGTTGGCCTTGGGCTGCATCCAGGTGCCCACCCAGCTGCTCTCTCTCTCCCCTGCCTCAGCAGGGCAGGAGGAAAAAACAGGATGAAAAAGCTCATGGGTCAGCAGAAAGACAGGGGATCTCTTACCAATAACTCTCACAGGAAAAACAGGCTCAACTTGGAGACAATTAATTTATTCCCAATTAAAATAGATTTGGATAGTGAGAAGCAAAGACAAAATTAAATCCTCACTTTCCCCACCCCTTTTTCCTGAGGCTCAGCCGACTCCTTCATTCCCAGCTCCTCCCCTCCCCTCAGCAGGAGAAAGGAATGGGAATGGAGCTGTAGTCTGTACCTAACAGCTCCTCTCTACCAACTGCTTCTTCCTCACACTTTTCCCGTGCTCCACAAGCTGCAGTTTGCTCAGGAATATCCACCTGTTCCCATGTTACCTCCTCCACAGGCTGCGGGGGCATACCTGCTCAGAGCACCTCCTTCTCCTTCTCCTTCTCCTCCTCTGCCCTTGGGGTTTACATTGCTGTTTCTCACACTTTTTCTCCCTTATCCCTCACTGCCAGGCAGGATTTTTTGCTGTTTAGTAAATATGCTGTCCCTGAGGCGCCGTTGTTGCTGAGTGCCTCAGGTGCGCTGAGGTGGGGCTGCCATGGAACAATCTGGAACCAGCTGTGGCCTGCGTGAGGCAGCGCAGGCTTCCCCTCACAGAGGCCCCCACTGCTGGCTCCCAGGCAGGGGCACCACTCACAGCAGAAAAAATTAAAAAGAGGAAAAAAAAAAAAAAAAGTGCAGATTTCAAAAGCTGACACGGTGTCTCTCTGTCAAACAGAGGCTGCTATTATGGAAGCGGTTCACCATGCCTCACCCTCCTTGTTCATGCGGTCACACGTCAGCCTCCTCAGTTACCACACTGTTCTGAGGGGTCACATTCAGCTGGGTTCACGTGATGTCCTCCAGCATTTTCAGATTAATTCACTTCTATTGTACAGCACTTACTGGAGAAGTATAGCCTAAATTATGAACCTGGGTTTTGTTACATTGAAAGCAGACGCTGGATGATTTCCGTCCACTGCATGACCTGACTTACTATTGAAATCAGCCTTTTGTGTCTTTTATACCAGCCGTTCTTTGCTGGATCTTCTGCTCTGTCTCACCAAACCTACAGTTAGACCCCAGAGGAATTGGAAACCTCCCCTGAGTGATGATTCCTGATTTACAGCTCCCTTCCACAAGCTATCGTTGAGACAGTTTGGGAGCCGTTTAATATGTACAACGCCGATTTTGTATAGCGATAATTGTTTTTAATCAGAATGTTGTGCAGTACTAAGTCAAACACATTACAGAAGTCTAAATATATTATGTCAACACAGCTACTTTAAATTAAGCAGAGCTAGGCCCAACTCAAGAGCTCCACAGAAAAAAACTGCTATTCATTAGGAAGTAATGTTGATTTAGGAGGTAACTATCTTGCCCCAGAAGAACCATTATCCTAATAATGTTTCTTGGGATGGATCTACTGGGATGGAAAGAGGAAAGGTTAAGGGACTGTGACCCCTCTATTCACTGTGTGATACGAGGTACACACAGTAGAGGATACAGCAGCATTTCATATACATCATAGCAGGCCTGGTTATACTATCACTGTTGTCTTTTCAATAGCATAGATACTGCAGACATCCCGGTTGTCTGCAGTAATTAAACATCAAGATGTGTTTTCTAACTGTGACCATGTTATTATGGAAGGGAGAGAGCCTTGAAAGCTGTCCAGGGGTTAATTTTGTAGATATATTGCTTTTTTAAAAATGGTTCATAAGGACATTTTGTATAATAATGGACTCATTTTTCAAAGGTGCTGATCCATGGAGTTAGCATACATGCAGCAGAGTATACAAGCTTGAAAGAAAGGGTGACCAAGATACTTTCTCTGCTGTTCCCTGATGTGAAACAGACATCTCTGCTTATGCATTCCTCTGATGCTTATTTGAAATCAATTTAAATTGGGCATTAAAAGTTGTAGATAGTGTTCAGCATGCAGAAAACAGACACGGGATAATGAAAAAGGGACATGGCATGAGTAAACAGGCTCCTGTCTCCTGCCCTTCCCTCTTCACAATGCCTTTTGTGGTCTCATCAGGTAAAAAGGGAGAAAAGGAAAAGAAAACCATTTGCTTTAGCTGATGGGGATATCAGAAACAAATTGTCTTGAGCACTACTCTAAGTGAATTAAAGTAACTAACCAACCTTAATGATCATTCTGGAAGAGGATCAATCCTTCAGTATTTAATTTTCCTTTGATTCTAAATGGAAGAACAAACAACATCTGTTTTTCCTCAGTTTTGGCCTGTTTACTGTTTAGACCACAACTTTAACAAGGCTGTATTTTTGCCCCCACCCCCATGCCTCCATGAGAGTGAAACTTGCATAACCTATCACAATCTGTTCATATTAAAGGTACCGTTACAATTAAGCATTTTAAGGGCTTTGAATTTTTCACTTTACAAAACCACTCCCCTCTCCCCCTTAAAAAAAAAAAAAATAGCATCTTCTTCTAATAAAAGCAATGAAATAGAATAAATATGGACATTTCCAGACCATATATGTGGAAATATGGAAATGAACAAACAAGGAAACTTGGAAAAATGGCAGTTTAAAAGCAATCTCCAGATTATTATTATTTTATGCATTCATAAAATAGAACTTCTCTCAGGTTGTGATGCCTGAGACTAATGGTACAGGTGTCTCTGAAAGAAATAGGCCTACTAGAATGTAAAATTGTGTAGCTTGACTCTAGATGAAAAGCTTCAGTTGTCATTATCACAAGCCTACTAGAGCCAGCATTCTCATGGGGCAAGAATTCTTCCTAGCATTCCTCACCATTCCTCAGAACCCTATGTTCCAAAAACCTTAATACAGCTATAAAGTCCATGGTGTCCTTCACATAATGCTCTCTATTTCACATGCCACGTGCCTATGTCATTTTCTCTAGCATGGCAGCATGGGCAGTGAAGGACGAGCTCACTGGCAAAACTTGCATGCACCAAGAGATAATCAGTGATGGCTACATAGAACTAACAATTCCTTTATGCCCAATAGCATATATCCTTGCCTAGTAATTTCCTGAAAAAAAAAAAAATGTTCAACAACATGAAGGTTGTAGTACATTTTCATTGAACTATTTGTATTTTTTCAGGAAAAAGACAGAGACTCAAAACAGGATGGAACAGTCTCTTATTGTCAGTCACTGTTATCATGTGCAGAGAGGATTTGCATGAATGGGAGACAATAGAGAGTGTGTATCCACCAGTACTGATGTCCCAAACCACACTGGTGTAGTGATAATTTCAGTGTTAGCCCCTACCTGCTGTACCACAGTTCCTGTGAAGAGAACACTATGGTTTAGCAGACAGTGCCTGCCATTGCACTGTGAGCTCAGCCTTTTCTGTGGCCTCATACACAGAGATGTGAAATCCTGCACATGAACCATGTTTTCCTCTGTGCCAGACCTTCCAGATCAGTAAGTGGAAGGGGACAATAGATTCACATGTAGTGTGACCACTGCTCAATGTGCAGAGTGCAGGCTTCAATTGGAGCTGTTAAAGGCAACTGCCTATCACATTCTCCCCATCTTCTGTGATCTTTTACAGTCTCTTTCTCTCACAGGCTCATGGTTTTGGACACAACCCAAGGTTCACCATGTGTGTTGAGGCTTGTGCTATTTTGAACAGTGAAGTAGAACCACCCACCACCCTGGCTAAAATTCAGATTAATTAGGACCCCTTCAGTCCCTGCTTTCTGATGATTAAAGGCTAGAGATAGCCTGTAGAGATGACACCTGTCAGCATGAGTTATCGAAATACATTAACCAGATATTTAGTGGTGGGTTGGTTTGTTTTTTAACTAAAGGTGCCATTCTGTTTAATTCAAACAGTTTTAACTACCACCAGAGCTTCAGCATAAGAAGTTATTACAAAGCTATAACCCATTTTGAAATGGGAAGACAGCAAGGCCAAATTAAACTGGCAGGTCTGGAAATTTAAATTCAGTAGCAGTTCAGGTTATACACTACACTTAGGTAAAAAAACCCTAATTCTATTTTAAAGGCTCATTTTCCACAAATGGCTGAGCTGTTTAAGTTAAAGTGAATAAATACCTAATGAGTCATTAAAGTCTATAAGACTGTATGGCCTCAAGGCACTGGTACCTGGATTCAGCCAATTATAGTTCTGTAAGATAAGATGAAGACATCAGGTTGTTATTGGAATATATAAAGGTTGAAGACACTGTTAATAAGTCACTACAGAATGTGATAAAATTGTTTAAACTGTTTAAAAACTCTCAATGTGTTTTGCTAGACACATTTTTACTGCTAGGTTTTTCCCCCATAAAGTCTAATCCTTTCTTTGCACAGCCTTGAGAACTACACTCTGCAATATTGCATTAATACCAAAATGTGATTTGTTTCTACATTTCCACGTTTTTAGCACGTACTCTGGAGGTTATGAAATATTAATGGTAGCAATTCCTCAACCATGGCATAAAGAGAATAGGAAGGAAAAGAAAGAAATTAAGGAAATACCAAAAACTGTTTTTAAAAACCAAAGCAACTGTCCAAGAAAAGAGTCATAAATAGTGAAAGCTATATTTGCTTTTTTTTTTTTCCAACCTGATGGAAATTATTTGCACATAGCTCCTATATATCTATCCCTACATCTTTTCAAGCTGAAAAATTGTGCCTTTTCATAATTAGAATTTTATTGTGCTGAGTCTGTTTATTAATTTTCAATTATTTTACCCCACAGAGCTAGGTCTATACCTCTGACTATACCACTCAAATACATTATGAGAAACCTGTGAAAAATCACCCTGAACACATAGCTACTGGTCTTGCAGATTTGTATGTGTGCATAGTTTTCATCCCACTAGTTTAAGTTGTTCAAGGGGAACTATCATTTGTCCTCTCACTGCCTCACCCCCAAGGCATGC